TCTTGCTCAGACTGGTTTCGAACTCCTGAGCTCAAACAATCCGCCCGCCTCGGCCTCCCAGAGAGCTAGGATTACAGGCGTGAGCCACCGTGCCCGGCCTGAATTTTTATTTCTTTAAGAAACTTCTAAGTTTGTTAGAATTGTGCCAAGCACTATTCTAATAACTTTCAAATATTAACTCATTTTATTTTTTGAAGATGGAGTCTCACTCTGTGATCCAGGCTGGAGTGCAATGGTATGATCATAGCCTCATTGCAGCCTTGAACTGCTGGGCTCAAGTGATCCTCATGCCTTAGCCTCCTCAGTAGCTGGGACTTCAGGTGTGCACCACCATGCCAGCTTAACTCATTTTACAAGTGAATAAGTAGACTGAAGAGAATGGGAGAAATCTGAGTTCTAGAATGATGAGATTAAATTAATATATTAGAAAACCTGCAGAGAAATTGGATATGGGGAAAATAGGGAAATATAAAGCATATACACCATGAAACTTTATGTGAAGTATATACTCTCTACTCAAATTAATAGTATTCGGGGAAAAAAAAGTTCAAGAACAATGACCTCTCTAATAGCAAATCCAATTTTAGCGAGGTGTGTCTTCAAATTGATTATTGTTATCTGCCTTGCCCAGCCCCGCCCAGAGGAGAGGTTTTATAACCTCAGAGAGGGAGGATAGGTTTCCCTAGCAGTAGAGTGAAGATAGGATTGTTTTCCTAGGATGAAAATGTTCTGTTTATTCCTGAAAAGGGGAAACAGCAAATGAAAAAAAAAAAAAAAGGAAAACACATATCTCTGTGAACTCTAAAGCACTAAAATGTAAAGCATAAAAGTTTAGAAGATTACTGCAGCAATCTAAACAGGAAGTAATAAAGTCTTAACCTAGGCTGATATCATGGAAAGGCAAAAAAGAGGAATAGAATCTGATTGAACAGATATTTCAAAGGAGGAATCACCAGAATTTAGTGGCTTAAAATTAGAAAACTTCAAAAAATGATTAAGAACCAGAAATCAAGATAATGAGAGCTACCAAAGGCAGATGGAATTAATCAATTATAATTTTCTTCTTGATTCCATTTCATCCATATAAACAGAAATGTATCTACAAAAATTTTGTGAAATGAATGACTTAGGGCTCATGACTCCTTCTAGAGTTTTTGCCCCTTCTCAAAGTAAAAATTTTGGGTAGCCAGGCGCAGCGGCTCATGCCTGCAATCCTAGCACTCTGGGAGGCCAAGGCAGGGGGATTGCTTGAGCTCAGGAATTCAAGACCAGCCTGAGCAACAGTGAGACTGCATCTCTACTAAAAAGAGAAAATATTAGCTTGGTGTGGTGGCATGCGCCTATAGTCCCAGCTGCTTGGGAGGCTGAGGCAGAAGGATCCCCTGAGCCCAGGAGTTTGAGGTTGCTGTAAGCTAGACTGATGCCACGGCACTCTAGCTCAAGCAACAGAGCAAGACTCTGTCTCAAAAGAAAAAAAATCAAAGTAAAACATTTTTAGGCTCATAGTAGGTACTTAAATACTTGTTGATTGATGTGAGATTTCATTTGCTAAGGGAAAATTTAGTTCATCTGAAAAGTCCCTGATGAAAGAATGCACTATTTAGGGTGGATTATATCTCAATGTATTAATACACACCTTGATTTGATAGAGAGGCACTAGCTACAGGCTTCCAAATTTCCATCCTTTAAAGCAATGAAAGAAAAGAAATCCAGGCTCTTCAGTTTAGCTTCAGCATTATCAGTAAATTCCCTGGAAGCTTTCTACAATGGAAGCTGAGGTGGGCCCATTGGAATCCCAGAGACCAGAGTTGATTGATGACTTTGGTCTGTGATACTCCAAAACCTAGTTTGACCACAAAGTTGTTAAATCTCTGGATTCAAAACTGCCCACTGCTCCAGTTGCTCCCATCACCAGAACACTCAACAGCTGCTCATCCAGCATCCACCCCAAAAAGAAAAGCAAACCGTCACTGGCAAATCTGATCAATACATTGCTCAAAGTCTAAGAGATTTGGGTCACAGAATTTCAGCCCTTGGAAAGTGGGGAATCTTATCCTGAATCCCATCCAACCACTCTTCAGCACAAATCTCTACCACCGTTAAGGCAAGAATGTGATAGTAATAAAATGGAAATCCTGGGGCAGCCGCAGCCTCTTACTTTAGGAATTAATCAGAACACTTTTGTTCCATGGCTTGAGAAAGATGCAATGACAGCAATGCCATTGGCTCTCATTTCTGCTGCACATTGGACCAGTTCTTCTGACTCCTTCAAGCTCACGTGTGAATGACTACCTGATCCAATGTTTACCATTTTATTATAAAGGATATTACAAAGGATACAGATGAAGAGATACATAGGGTGATATAACCAGCTCCAGGAACAAATTTTAAGGACCTCTATATGTTTTTTATAACCTTCTCCCTTAATTAACTGCTTGACCTTTTCAGTTGTTTCCCAGAAATGATAGATTTTCTGCAAGACAAAGGAGTTGAGATTCTGAAGTCCCCAGGGCAGACTTCCTGACCAGGACTCACCATCCCCCTCCACCTGCCCCAAGGCAGTTGGCCCCTTCTTAAAAAGTCTGTGGTCTCCATCAGTCAGAGAGACAGACTTGAGGTAGCTTCTCCCCTTCTCCTGGCAAGGTGTTTGTCATATTAAAAAATTCCTTCCTACCTTGGCAACCCTTGTTGTTTCAATAATTGGATCTTTGTGTGACAGGCAACTGGACCTAGACTGAAACCCGGTTTCTTTTCTTTAGTTTTTTTTTTTTTTTTTTTTGAGACAGAGTCTCACTCTGTTGCCCAGGCTATAATGCCTATCTCCCTAAAAAGGCCCTCAGGAGAGAAATCATACTTGATTTATCTTTACATCCTCAGTACTGTGTTCAGTTCCTGCATATAGTAGGCATTCAATACGTATTTGTTTAACCAATTAATAAATTTGCTATTCATTGGGGAAAGTTGGGATATTTTACAAAACACAAAGTCATAATTTAGGCAGAGAGATACTTATTTTATAAGTGACCAAAATATCCAAGATGAAGGTGCCACAGAAATAAATAAATAAACAGAACAGAAAAAGCAAATTAATAGGTCAGATTTTAAATTGGTAAAGCAAGTAACAAAGGGACCTTTGCTTTTTCCAAGAAAGTTCTCTCCACTGAAGAATAATGTATTATTATTAGTGTAACAGAGAGAATGGCCTAAAAAAGGGTAAAAATGTTTTCTGTCTCTTCAAAACCCCCTCACCCTTTTTGAGAACTAAAACCTGCCTACCTGCCCTAGGCCAGTGGTTGGGAGAGACTGGGGAATGTCCTTTGTTCTTTGTGCCACAGGAGATGGCTCAAGAGAACTGTCAAGGCTCGAGGGCAGAGGTCACAAGATTGTTTTAGCCAAGATGGCATGAATCAGAAACCATCAGGTATAATTGAACAGCAATAGCCTGAGGCTTAAAACCCCCCCTTTAAAAGCTCTGTATTTCTGCTTAGAGGCAGGACGTTAGTATACTTTAAGATGGCCATCTGCTAACCTCCTAATTGCTGACTCATTTGCAAATTAATAAACTTTTCTTTCCTTTTCAAGCAGCTTGTCCTGGTTCTTCTGATGTGGCCTCGGGGACAAGTACCAAACTTTTGGTAACATTAGTAGTAGTAATAATAAAGATAATAATAAATGATTATTAGCTCAATCTTAGCACAGTAAAGCCACAAGATATATACTATTATTATCACTATTTTACAGCTAAGTAAACTGAGGCACAGAGGCCCAAGACCACATTGCTAGTTAGTGGCACAGCTAGAATACAAATCTAGGCAATCATACCAGAACCTGCCCTCTTAACCACCATAACCATACTAATTAAACAATAGGGAATAACTCAAGCACAATTGTTCACTTGAAAGTGTGTTTTTAATTTATGAGGAAAACATTTTTAAAAGTAAGCATTGCCTAATCTGAAATACTAACTTCTCATCTTGTTCTAATTGGTTGTTTGGACACCCAAAGCTTTAAGATGATGTGTTTTAGCAAGCCAAACTTTCCCAGCAACTTCTGTTTCAAAGGGTAACTACAAGGAAGACACAACTAGACTTAAGGGTCTGGAAATTAGGGATTGACTTTACCCCTAAGGTAGGTAAAACAATACGGAGCCCCATCCCGACAGCTGCTATTTACTCTCAGATTAGCCCTCTAACAGTGGATGGATGCAAAGGGTTTAATTATGTTGAAGAGCTGGTCTTAACAGTTAGGGATGATAACTAAAGGGAGGGTTACTAAGTAACTGAACTCCTCTTCCAAAAGCCAGTGGTCTATCCTCTTGGCCTCCTCCAATTATCTTCAGAGTTTGTGTATAAAAAGGGGTAAAGGGCCTTTCTTCTCTATCCTGTGGCAAATTATAAACAGGTATTTGAGCTTCCTACAGAAAGAGGGTAAAAAACACTGCTGATCACACAGGGACAGACAATCTTCCCTGGTATAAAAAGCCAACAAAAATGAAAACTATTCAAATCCATGCTATTCAGTGCATCATTATTTTGATATGTCAGTAAGATTTTGAAGTCATTTTTTCTAACAATTAAATAAAAACATTTACAGAGAACTGGGATCCCTAGTGTAACGACTTCCCCTGTTTTATTTGGGAGTTGCAAACTTTAGTGACATGTTAAAAAATATTTTTTGAGGTTTTGAAAACCTTATCTTAACATGATCGATAAATGTATAACATATGAGAGAAAGTATTCTTTATAATGTACATCATTTGCCTTTTCTTTTTCAAGAACATGTATCACTCCAGTTGCCAGTCTAAGACATTCCATTGTATAGGTATGAGAAAGAAAGAGGGGAAAATAATGGCCAATTCCTTTCTTACTTGTTATTGATCAGATTCTTGGCAGCTGCCTCTTGAATTATTTCCACAAAGAAATGATTTTTCAACCTTTTAATTACCTTGCTGATTGCAGATATTTAAATCATACTAAACAAAACCACACTCCATGTTCAGATCACTTTTCTTTAGTTATTTGTTCAAGGGCAATGTGAGCCCTAAACTGTAATCGGGCTTCCATGGAATAGTCTTTGTAGTTTTTTATGTTGTCGAGGCTTTTTGTTGCACTATCATAATCTCCTTTTAGATAGTGTAGAATTCCCAGTTCATAGTAAGTATATGGCACCAAATAGTGGTCATATTTTAACAATTTCTCCTGTTGAATGACACGATTAAAGTAATGTTCAGCCTTTGAATATTTGCCTAAGTGTTTCAGGCATAGACCTTTCAGTAAATTTAACAAACTTATGTCATCTGTGCCATACTCTTTATTTGGATTCTCTTGTAAAAGGTCTTTTCCTTTGTTAATTATTGATAGCCAGCGTGAAATAAGCTCGATTTTTTTGCTCATAACTCGGAAACCACTCCAGGCATAAACAAATTCCAGAAGGGGCTGTGCTGTAAACCAGCCTGTAGTAGTACCATAGCGCTGACCTTTCTCGGCAACAAACTTTTCTATTGGCACAGAAGTGCCTAAAAATTTGATTCTCAGGCTATCTACTTTTACGAAGAGAGAGTTCATATCCTCATTTACTGCTTTCCCAAAATGAGAAGGAAGCAAGGCCAGTATTATGGCTTTACTGTACATATATATTGCCTTGGACCACCTGCTGTGTTGAAACAGTAAATCAGCGTAGTAGTAAGCCTGCTTCCAATCCTGCATAAAAATGTGGCACCACATGAGTTCCCAGTAACAGAGGTGATGAACCTGCTTCCATTCATTCTGAATAAAAATGCACTCTTCTAATTTTAACTGTGCATTTTCAAAATTTCCCTTCAACATACTAGAACGTGCATGAAAAAATTTAAGTATGACACAGTTTGGAAATTTCTGTAGATAAATCAGGAAGAGACCGTCTGTAGCAGAATTGTAAATGTTTTCAACACCAAAAGCAACATAGATATAATTGTAATAAAAGAGTAGAGTCAAAACACTTAAGATACTATTTATATGGGTTTCAGAGGCACTCTCGTGAAGCAAAGCCAAGCCTACCTCTCTATCACCAGTAAATCCAATGATATTGAGTACTTTAAGTGTCCTTGGTGGCACAAGTGATAACAGCAAATTGAATGTTCCAAGTCCAAATTTTATTCCTCCAACCAGGTGTTTGTGGGCTTTACTTTGGTTGTTAGGCATCTGTGTTAATACTTGTTGACAATCTTTGTATATATGGTAACTTGACCCAATGCTGAACCCACTTTTAAGAAAACCAAGTATACTGTCGTCCTGTATAAATGTCATGGAGGATTTCAAAACCAAACACTCAGCATAACAGATTTCTGCATGCAATTCCTCTTCTCTGATAGCCTTTATTCCTTGTTTACTCACTAGACGAGACAAAGTCATCATCCTAGGTTTTCGGAAAATGTTACAGGTTTTCAAAGCTTCCTTTGTGGTGGCCATTCCAATCTCCATATCCTGTGGCTCAAAAGTCAGGATTGCCTTGACAACCATAAGGATACTATATATTAGGGCATGGTATGAGCTGTTTTTAGACCATGGATGAATAAGGTTTATTGCATCTGAGAATCTGTTATTGAGAAATAAATACAATCCAGTTGTGCATTCTTCCAAGGAAGTTGCTAGATTCATTGTTGTTGCTGCAGGAATGATTTCATAGGCATCTTCAAAACTGTCCTCTTGATCATTTTCTCTTTTATTTAGAATAAGTGACCTAGTTATCTTGACCTCCTTATTTTCCCTTTTACTTACAGCAAATGACATATTTGTTTCCCCACTTAGAGGTGGAAAATATCTGAAGTAGAGTGATGTGGTTGCAGTGAGGGTAGCTCCTGATCTCCCGACCAGGGTCACTTCCACACAAAGCTTGGTCTGACGTGTTGCTGATAAAATGGATGCAAGCAAACGACTAGCTGTGAGATACAGCATTAGGATATTCTCATCTACGTCAGACAAGGGGAAAAAAAAAAGATAATTTTATTTACCCAGAAGACGCATTTCTGGAAAGTTCAAATCATTTGGAATCAACTAAAGAAAACATGCTCTTTTAAAACACTGTAAAGTAAATCCTTTGTAAACAGAAGAGTTCTTTTTAACCATCCTCCAATTTATCAATTTCATAAGATCATGCTCTTGTATATTTGCATTATAGAACTATACTGTGATAGCTGTAAAATTTATCTATAGGAAGGCCTTGGGAGGCAAGAATCTGGCTGGAAAGGGAATGTATTTAAGACTAAAGTTAAGACTAAAGAGGGGTGACTTGTCCAAAGCAAAGAACAAAAATTGTGGGAATGAAAACTCCATCTCATATTATTCTCAGTACCATCACTAATGAGTACTTGCATATATTTTCATTGAAAATTAAGTCTTAATGAAATGAAATATTATGGTCAGTTGTATAGGACTTTGGATATGGAGAGGGCTGTGTAAAACTAGAAAGATTTCCTAGTTAGAAAAAAGAAATTCATACAGCCAAAGGGCAAATGTTGCAAAAAAAAAAGAAAAAAGAAATTCAAATATAACAGTTGTTATCACAGCATTACTATAGTATTAATATCTTGGTAGAAAATTGTTTTCTATTGAAGTCACTTAACACCTGGAAGGTGGGGTGGCTGTGGGCACAATGGGAGACCAATTACGTATAGCAAGCTATTGCATTTATTCATATTACCACAATAGGTTCAATTAATCTATTTTTAAAAGTAGAAACAGAAAACATAACACTTTAACAGTAATTATTATAATGACTTCAAAATAATTACAAGTGTACTTTAAAATGTGCCTGAATTCTGTATTTCAGTAAGTTAAAAAACAGAAGGGGGAGATAGAGGAGAATAATCAAAGGAAAAGGAAAAAAGAGAGAAAAGCAGAAGAAAGATATAGATTTGCACAGAGGGAGAGAGAAAACAAACAGGAAAAATATGTTACATATGAGAAAAAAATGATGAGAGGGTAGCAGCCTCAAAGGTGTTACTTTAGGTAAATGCTTGTTTTTACACCTCAAGGTTCAGTTATGTCTCAGGGGATTAGCACCTGTAATCACCATTCTTTGAAAAGCTAGTTAGTTACACATTTGTCTGAAAGGCTCAGTTCTGAGTGAAAAAGCCACATAACTCATTAGGTGGGAAATTCTTCTTGGGGCAGGAATAGGAGTGGCTGGATCAAGGTCATCCAGAGAAACCTAGATGACAGCCAGATTCCACTCAAGGACAAAGTTTCTTTTCCTCTGGCCTAAACCACAATGCTTTCAAGTTATATTCCATAGAATCCTTATTCTTTGTTCAAGACAGTTCAAATTTTACTTTTCCTGAAAACTTACCTACGTCCATCAGCATAATCATGCTCATGGCATTCTGTGTATGTGTGTGTGTATATATATATATATATAGATAGATTGATAGATAGATAGGTGTTTCTCTCACTGCATTGTAATTATTTATACACCTGGTTTTGCCACTAGCCTGGGACCATCAAGGCATGATTTGTGTTCTATTCAGCTTTATTATTATTTCTTTTTTTGGAGACAAGAGTCTCTCTTTGTCGCCTAGGCTAGAGTGCTGTGGCGTCAGCCTAGCTCACAGCAACCTCAAACTCCTGGGCTCAAGCAATCCTTCTGCCTCAACCTCCCAAGTAGCTGGGACTACAGGCATGCACCATCATGCCCGGCTAATTTTTCTATATATTTTTAGTTGTCCAGCTAATTTCTTTCTATTTTTAGTAGAGACGGGGTCTCGCTCTTGCTCAGGCTGGTCTCGAACTCCTGATCTTGAGCGATCCACCTGCCTCGGCCTCCCAGAGTGCAAGGATTACAGGAGTGAGCCACCAGGCCTGGCCTTATTCAGCTTTAAATGACAGTTCCAGCACACTCCCTTGAAGAAAGTAGGCATTAATAAATGTTTGCTAAATGAATTCAGGTGTCCACAAAATGTTTCTAGGAATTTCTTGAAAACAAACTGTGGACTTGATTTTCTGCCACATAATTGCTAGGTTTGCTACTCCCAAAGAGCACATAAGGATATAACCGTAATAAATTTCCTGTAATAAGATTTTTATTTTTTTCTTCTATCATTTTTGGGATTATGATTCTGTTTTTTCCCCACTTCAAGGATTAATACTGTAAAGTCAATAATATAAATGTTCAGAGATGTTGGGGGAGTGGGTACTTATTCCTGATTTGTAATGCTTCCAGAAGGGGGATTTTCTACTAGAGCAATACTCCTGGCTGGTGGGCTTACTTCTGGCTGGGGGTTGACAGAGAGAACTGGGAAAGTGTGGCACCAAGCCTTCTGGATTCTTTTATTTTGGAGTCAGCCTGTCCAAAGTTTGATACCAAAAAAGAGGAAGAGTTTATTTTCTGTTCTCCAGCTGGGCCTGTGACAGGTGGGTAACTCTGTTTAATTAAGGGGCAAAGCATTCCTGAACGCACACATGTGACATCACAGTCATTATCAGCAATCAAAAAGGTCATACTTTGGTCTCCTTCCACCTGATTTTTACATTTTTATCTCATTGGTTCTGACCTCGGGACAGAAAAAAGGATGTTTTTTATTGGCCTCTAAAACCATCTCCTCCTTCTACTCTTTTTTTTTTTTTTTTGAGACAGAGTCTGTGTTGCCCGGGCTAGAGTGCCATGGCGTCATCCTAGCTCACAGCAACCTCAAACTCCTGGGCTCAAGCAATCCTTCTGCCTCAGCCTCCCGAGTAGCTGGGACTACAGGCATGTGCCACCATGCCCGGCTAATTTTTTCTATATATTTTTAGTTGTCCGATTAATTTCTTTCTATTTTTAGTAGAGACGGGGTCTCGCTCTTGCTCAGGCTAGTCTCAAACTCCTGAGTTCAAATAATCCGCCCACCTCGGCCTCCCAAAGTGCTAGGATTACAGGCGTGAGCCACCATGCCCAGCCTACTCCTTCTACTCTTGATACCCTACCTAGATGATCGGTACCATCACTCACCCTAGACTCTCCTTCCATCTCTCCTTCTGTATCCTCCTATCAGTGCCCAAACCCTATCAATTCTACCTTGCTGAGTGACAATGCCTCTTTTCTGTCCTCCATATCACCCTGGGCGAACTTCTTTAACAATGCTTATAGCTGAGGTTATAAAATGGCAAAAAGCACAGGCTACAAAGTTGAACTGCTCAGGTTTGAATCCTGATTTTGCCACTTGCTTGGCCTTAGTATGTTTTCTGTTTCCTCATCCTCTGATAGGGAATAATAGTACCTCTATCAAAGAGTGGTTGGGAGAATTAGGTGAGTTAATATATGTAAAGCAATCAGAACAGTATCTGGCATACACAGTAAATACTCAATAAATATTATTACTCTGCCCTCCCCCAACACACAGCCTGCCGTATAGTAGATGCTTGCTGAATTTTTTTTTATTTTTATTTTCGAGACAAGAGTCTTGCTCTGTTGCTCAGGCACAGTGGCATCATCATAACTCACTGCAACCTCAAACTCCTGGGCTCAAAGGATCCTCCTGCCTCAGCCTCTCAAGTAGCTGGGACTCCAGGCACGCACCACCATGCCCAGCTAATTTTTCTTTTTTTCTCTTTTTCTTTTTTTTTTTTGTAGAGACGAGGTCTGGCTTTTGCTCAGACTAGTCTCGAACTCCTGGCCTCAAGTGATCCTCATGATCCTCCCTGCCTCTGCCTCTCAAAGTGCTAGGATTACAGGCATGAGCCACTGTGCCCGGCCTTAAGTGATTTTTCTAAAACCAAATAGTAACTTGCAGAGACAGGATTCAATTTCAAATCTTTTGAGTCTCAGGTCATGGTTCTTTTCATTACCTCACACTTCATTCATCAAAAAGGTAGTTTTCTGATTCTATGAAGTGATATATTTAAGCTAAGCTTTTAAGTATGAGTAGGACTTTCACAGGTAGAGCAACTGGTAGGACCAATCAAGGTATATTATAGGGATAAAAAATGGCATAAGGGCTGGGCACCATGGCTCACATCAACCAGCTGCTGCAGTAGGAAGCCAACCTCTATATTTTTGTCATATCTTAGTTTACCTCGGCAATTACTTTGTGTATTTTGCTTTGTCAATAGGAATCGGTTGCTAAGTAATTGCCAATGCTTTCTTACTACAGCTCTTCCACTTTTCCACACTCCAAGATGCTTTATAGTATAAAATAACTTATCATTGAGTGTCCTTAAAGACCAAATATATATATGTATCTCTCTAATGTGTAAAGAGTACGGAGTCTAAACTTCAATGATACGCTCTCAAAATAGGTCCTTTTTTTTTTTTTTGAGACAGAGTTTCACTGTGTTGCCCAGGCTAGAGTGCCGTGGCGTCATCCTAGCTCACAGCAACCTCAAACTCCTGGGCTCAAGTGATCCTCCTGCCTCAGCCTCCCAAGTAGCTGGGATTACAGGCATGTGCCACCATGCCCGGCTAATTTTTTCTATATATTTTTAGTTGTCCAATTAATTTCTTTCTATTTTTAGTAGAGACGGGGTCTCGCTCTTGCTCAGGCTGATTTCGAACTCCTGAGCTCAAACAATCCGCCCGCCTCGGCCTCCCAGAGAGCTAAGATTACAGGCGTGAGCCACCGCACCCGGCCTCAAAATAGGTCTTGAAAGTTACTACTTCCATGAAATTATATATAACTTTTTGCTTGCAGAAAATGATTAAAGAAAGGTGACATTTATGACAGAAGGAACAGGATTGGAGTCAGGAGTTTGAGACCAGCCTGAGCAAGAGCGAGACCCCGTCTCTACTGAAAATAGAAAGAAATTAGCTGGACAAG